CCCTCAAACCCGTGAACCCAAACCCGAATCGCAAGCCCTAATTCAAGAATCCTCGGATCCACGTTCCGATGTAAATCCGTCACAAACTCTACAAAATACAGAAGAAAGGGACACCCTTTTGGAAAAAGATTCAGTAGAATCAATTACAGAACTCAATGGCGGCGAAGAAGAAGAGGAGGAGGAGGGTGAATGTGGGTTTTGCTTATTTATGAAAGGGGGTGGTTGTAAAGACGCGTTTATAGAGTGGGAGAAGTGTGTGGAAGAAGGAGAGAAGAACAAAGAAGATATTGTGGAGAAATGTTTTCAGGCTACCGCTGCTTTGAAAAAGTGTATGGAAGCTCATTCTGATTATTATGCGCCAATTTTGCAGGCTGAGAAGGTGGCTGAGGATGAGGCTGTGAAGGAATTGGAAAAGGAAAAAGAAAGGTTAAATAGCCAAGGGGGCAGTGAAAAATCGGGATCAGAAGAAAAGGAGGAAACAGTGGATGGTTCTCAGCAAAAGAAAGAATCTTGAATTGAGGGTTTTGGGGATGCTGTTTTAGTTTATTCTTTTTAACTTTTAGGGATTGAATGTTTGAGGTGTTAGGAGCATTTTCTTGAGGTAAATTAACCAAAAAACTTGAGAATTTCTGATAGAAATTTATATATTCTGAATAATTGTATTGGATAATGACTGCCATTTTATACAAATTGATCCTAAATGATAGTTACATGCCTGACTCTGCTGAGAATTATGTTTGGCAGATTATTTTTAGCTTGTGCAGTTTGGTGCTTAACTTGGTTTGGGATATTTTATAATTAAATTTGATGAAGTGAAATTATGCAATGCTCCTATGTTATGGTATTAAATGGGGGCAATGTGATGTCTTCAAAATATATGTTTTTTCCAGTAGTTGTAAGTGTTATATGCAGGAAGTTTTGCTAAATGTATAATTTGTTTTTGGTGGAAAATAAAATATGCACTTTTTTAGAGTTAATGCACTAAGTAATAAAATTAATGTAGAATACATTGCATTTGTGGCATTTTTGTTATAGAGGATTGGATAGGATTGACTAAGTTAATCTTGTTCATTAATGTGTGCATGTTATACATCCTTGTTGTCGAGTTGGTGATTGGTTATGAATTTGATTTAACAGGCAGCATGTTGGCACGGAATTGATTTCTATAGTTAGGAAGTTGTATTAATCCGGCATAAAAAACTTTGTTGAGATTTAACAAAAGCTTCATTTGATAACGTTGATAAATATTAATTGTTTTCCTTGGTACCCATTGAATGATTTGAAGAAAACCCTAGGGAAAAAACTCCGGCTTCCAATAGCCCGCATCTGACTGCCAACTCCTGAGAAGGAGGATCTATCTTCTATATGCTAGTTCTTGCCAATCTTGGGGCGTCATTAAGAATGAAATCGCTTCTTCCAGCTCTGAGGGTTCTAATTTGATCAAATAAGCATTATGATCATGGTCTTCGTCTATTTTCTCTATGTTAATTACCTTTCAGTCAATAAACCTATACATTAGTTTCTCTAGTTTTTCCTGCTGCTGGAACCATCATAGGTTGTTTTATCGCTTAAGATTTTTTCTACTGTCAAGAGAAGATCAATTTCACTAAAAGGTACAAACTTGATTGGTTCCATAAAGTGGTTTTTCTTAAATCCTTAATAAGTAGATATACATGTGATGGAGCTCCAAAAATTTAGCTTTTCTACTATTAGAAGACGGAAAAAGCTGGGGTTCGTTGGAGAGTGGTCTTGAAACCAACTGCCATGGTTCTTGAAAGAAAGTTCGAGTTGCTTATTTACTTGTATGGTATGCATCCTCAATAGGAGACAATTACCCATTCACTTTAAATTTTTCTGGGAGCTATAGGAATATAATGCTTAATTTGAGAAGATTGGCATTTGTAGGAAACAGGGTGAAATTGTTGAATTGAATTGTGTTAGGATTTCCATGGAGACAGTTTTTGATGTACATGTATGACATTCAAGACTCTTAGTAGCATCTTCTTAATAAATTTCTTCACCGTTACCCACCCTGGAATGTACGGAAATCACTTCTAAGGCGCTTTTGCCACTGGGAAAACAGATAGTTAACACCTTAATGCCTTGTTTCGTTAGGAGAACTGGATAGTAGTAGACGAAACTATTGGGTTCTGTTCTATTTGGTTACAACGTTGCAGCCTCGTGTCGTTCGCCTGAAAGTGGATGGAGCCAGACAAGTTTGAAATAGATGATGCGTGGCATATCTATATACACAACTGCTTTTTAACTGCCTTAGAGAGACTATGAAGAAGGACAAGTTCACATGAGTGCTTTTTAACTCGACAAAAAATTTACAGATGAGAGTGAGCCACCTTTGTTTGATAAACCGGTCAAATTTTATTTTATGGGATCCCAACTTGTATTAACTGTATTGCTTTCTGGTCCAGTTCTTGGTTTAGTTAGAGAAATAAATTTTGAATCAGTTCAAAAAAATAATTTTTATGATCTCTTGGTTAAATAATAATTTATGTAATTCATGTGTGGCAAGTATTATACAGTTTTTTTATTTAAAATATGAAAATGAAAAATTGACGAGATAATTTACAATATTTTTGAAAAATAAATATTGGACTAGAATTAATGGTTCCACGGGGAAAATACCGATAGGTGACGTTTACAATAAAATCGATAGTGCTAAAAGCCAATACTAACTCGCGATGATTTGAAGACTGTCAAACTCCATTTCTCAATTCTCGCTGGAGATATTTGTTGATTGTGATTTAAGATAATCGTGATTTAAAAAATAAGTAGGTATTTTTTTAAAGACATTTCATGTTAATAAATTCACAGATTTTTTGTGAATATTTATTACTTGGATCCGTCAATAACTAATCAGTGAAACTGTGATGTTTATGTGGACATTCTGAAGATTTATATTGTGTTCTTAAAAACCTAAGCATGAACACAGTTGAAAGGAATGCTAAGAGTTTGTTGTCTTAGTGGCGAAACTTGCTTTAGTTCCTGTGTTTGTTGACGTCTTAAGCATGAACACAGTTGAAAGGAATGCTAAGAGCTTGTTGTCTTACTGGCGAAACTTGCTTCAGTTCCTGTGTTTGTTCACGTCTTGCCATGGCTTTTATCAAATTTGTAGAAATCCGGATTCCTCAAATCGATGGGGATATGATTACAAGAGAAAACTTCATTGATGTTCTTCTTGTGCTTATATGGATGGCTATAAGCATTGAGCCCCCTTTACAAGGTATTCATCATGTTAGTGTCTATCAGCATGTTTCCTAATAGCTTATGTTTTTCCTTGTTGCCTAGTAAAATGAATATTTGTCTTCCTCACTTTTGGCCACTGAATCAAATATTATGCACATGTTCAAGTTCGTTAAGTAAATGACTTTGAAAATATTGAATCGATGAAATTTTCATGTTTGAAGAAGTTCACCATATGAGGCTGTCACACATACAATTATGAAATTCCAATGAAAGAATCAAGGAACTCTATTCTACGTAGCCGATTGCCTGCTATATATACATTATCGCATTTATACGTTATATATAATTTTCTCCTGTGTCCTCCTCAATCAGTGTGCTATATCTATTCCTCCTTGTCCTCATCATCGTCATAATTGAAAGGCAATGGCACTGATTTGAATGCACGATATTTGCCAACATTGTTAAGATGCTCGTTCTCTAACCTGAGCAAGAAAAACAAAGACATTTAACATCAGATAATTGATTTAAGTTCTAAGGTATCCACCCTGAGGCAACAGTGTATGAGATGTTATTGCTATCCAAGTTGAGAGGAATAACTTCTAGTGGCGAGTTCCACGTCTGTTTTGTCTTATGTTGAAGGCTAAATTTAGATATATAAGCGTATCCCATCCCTAACAACTTAAGCTTTTAGAAAAAAAAAGTAGTTCAACAAGGCTTTATAGAGTATACAGAAGTCTTGATTTCAGGATTTACTATCACGCATTCATAAAAATTATGCATGTGGTAAGTTTTTAGTAAAATGACTCCGATACACATGAGCAGGTGTATTGAAAACTAAATTTAAATAAATATATATGTCTTCTCTAACAAATTAAACTCTTAGAGGTGGTTAAAACACCCTATAGCCAATTCTAGGTTTGACCTGAATAGCATTAGTGTGATGATTACTAAGTTTTCTGTTTTTTCAATACCAATGATAAGAAGGTAAATTGTATTGCAAAGATAGGGGACTAATGTATGAATCTTAGGGAATCACCTGAAAAAATTCCATATACCACGACGGATGATCTCTAGAGCAGCTACAGTCGCAATCAGAGTTTGTCCATTCAAGGAGAAAATTGTGACACTCATTACAGTCTGCATCCAGGCTAATCTCAAAAAGACATTGAGGACCTGCAACAAAAGAGTAGTTACAGCATGTTTAACTATGCTTAAAAGCAAGTCATACTTAGTTTTAAGATACTAAAAACTTACCATGGCTACAAAGTACACACTCTTATGTGGGATAAGAAGTTTTTCTCTCAACAAATAGTTCTTAGAATTGCATCGGAGAAGACCCCAGTCAATAACAATGTCCCAATATGTGCCGAAGATAGTAGCAACTGCTGAGGCTATCCATGCTATGTACTTCCAAACAACTCCTCTGTTAAGTGTATAGGCTGTTCGGGTACTAACTGCCAGAATTGTAGAGAAATATTTCAGGCCATTGAATCCCTGTTTAGCATCCTTCTCTTTATACAAACGGCGTAGACACTGGGCAATAAAAAAAAAACTGTATCAGTCCTACTCAAAATGAGTCAATCTCAAGCAGACGAGGACCAACTGTCTCAGAATCTCTCTCTTATATTCAGTTCGTAGGGTCTCTGACACAATACATCTTAAAGTGTTTGTGTGAATGAGATAACGAGAATATTAGTCGTAGTCTAAATCAGAATTTTCTGATTGATTTAAGTATGCTTATAGAAGCAATATAGCACATGCCAAATCAGTAAATGTGTTCTCCCTAAGAGTTTAAGCTTTAAGATGAGTTTGTGTTACGTGATTTTAGGCAAATGTCCTAGATTCAAGTCTTGGTGCCACTTATTTCTTAAAATTGTGTGCGTATCAGGCATTTCATAAAATATTGAATCGGTCATCACATGAGACGTGGCATTAAGGAAATTTAATAAATAACTAAATGTATTTTCTCTCTAACATCTTAAGCTTTTAGACGAGATAGTCCAAAATTGCTAAAGCATATATCTATGCGATGTATAATTTATTAGTTAGGTACCTGAAGGAGGCGCCACCAGTATGGAATCACAGCTACAATGAATGAGAAAGTGTTGAAAACATCACTTGTTTTGCAACTATGTTTTCTGAGTTTGAAGTCTCCCCAACAATAGTAGCAAATATAAAACTCTAGGCTTCTAAAAGCTTGTGCCTGTATTAAGATTGAGGAATTCAGTATATATATAAGGTAAGAAAATGAGCATATTCTAATTATCTGATAATCCACGTCATTACCTGGCTTGTCAGCTGATCTGCCAAGAAGAAGTCATATAATGTCACCTGGGGTGGGGTGCATACAAACTGTGTTATTCCTGTTTGGTACTTTTTTTTAGTATGATTACGATAATAATTTCTTTACCTTGTATAAAGGTGCAAAAAAACAATGAAATAAGCAGATAAGTAGGAAGAAACGGCTGGAGCGGTATATAATGTTGAAAGGGCAGAACATTATAACAATTACAAGCTGCAGAGAAAGGAAAATTCAGATTTAGTACTTGCGGAAATTTAGAATGTTGAAAAGGTGAAGCAAGTATAGTCTTAGTATCTTACCAGAATTAAACCCAGAGGTAGAAGTTCTGTTATTGCCTTGTAATCTTTTGTTATTGGGTCCATTTCCATATCAAGGTTTGCAAGTACACTTGATATGGCTAGTGCACTTAGACAAAAACTGAGGAGTACACTCGATATCGCTTCCAGAAGTATATATTTGCAGCATACATTAGCGTGTGCAGAACAATGAATCCGAACAAACTGCAATAAAACGATTATTGGAAAGATTTAATATCCCCAAAGATGAATGAACTTGAAGTCTTTCAATAAAAAGGCTAAATGCCATGTTAATAATTGGGTGTTGCTCTGTTTTGCTATAATTAACAGAGATTTTTTTAACATCGGAAGATCAATAAGAGCAAGGATTAACCTGTAAAGGGGAAACATAGTTTCCATGTATAGAACTCTGCCTTCTTTATCTAGGATATTGCGTGCTCGTATGATTAAGGCAAGGGCCACTGTGAGAGCAAATGTACACCCAACAAGAAACCCTGCAGATATTTGGTACAAATAGATTGAATGGATATTCAAAAATTCATCTCTTAGAGAATAAAGTGCGTGGCTGGTATGCCGTATGCACTACTAGACAAAATAATAACAAGGTTTTTTAGTTTCTCTCTTCCTTAATATTGTCTAGCATTATTTAATCCTCTCTACAAACAAGCTAAAAGTTAATCCGAGTGACGTATGAACCAGAAAGCAGAATATCTTACCCGTTGAGAATGTAACTCTATGTCTTTCCTTTTTGGCCTTTGGCCTTAAGATTCCCATCCCTTTCCTGCGATTCGAGTTGGAGAAGTGCTTGATGAATGTGGCTTCTACCCTTTCCATCAATTTGCTGACCTATAAATACAAAAAATCAACTTATCTGAATATCCATTTTTCTCACACGTTCTTTGTAGTACTTCTATAAAATGACGAGCAACTCATAAATTTCACTGCTTTCAGTTCCATGAGACAAAAAATAAAATAAAATAATCCTTCATTCTCCTATTGAAATCAAAATCTCACTTCTTCCGAGCTGCTTAGATAGGAATTATCAACCATTGCCATATAAGATTTTGATGCTGTTCTTGAAGCGATCTGCATGGACAGTATCAATATGTTACTCTAAATTCTCTTTTTTAGCTTTTTAAGTGTTTCCTATCTGACTAAGTATGATTTTGTACAGCAAAAAGTGACATATAAACGTAATATGCAGGCAGATACCTTATCATATTTCTTCATGATTTTCGAGCATGCCAAAATGTTAAGAAAGCTGTTTCATTTGTAAAGAAAGTATATCGGTAACAACAAACTTAAGAATGAAACAGCAATGAATATGTTCCTAAAATATATGGCAACATACCTGTAGCTTTTTAGTAGCCTAAGCTTGTGGTAGAATTCAATGAAAGCCTTCTTTAGTTGTTTTTCTGCTTTCTTCAAATTATCCTTGGTGAACTTTAAGTCGGTTTGATTTGAAAGATTGAGAAACCCTATAATGGTCGAACGAGGAGTTTCTTGAGTAGTGTTAAATTTAACATGGTTAAGTATCTCTAAAGGTGCTGGTCTTATGGTCCTGATTGTATTTTGATTAAGCCTTTGATCATTCAAATATACTGGTTTCATCTCAATGGCATCTTTATCATCACTTGATCCGTCTGATTGTCCCTGATTATTTGAACTTTCTTCATCTATCACATCCATTGGAATTCTTCCTGAATCAGAATAAGAAACTTGTGTCATTTTAGTAATCAGAATTGTTTGCAGTTCATCTTTATCATCACTCAATGCATCGGTGTATATCGCTAATCTTGCATATTAGTCCATGGTTTGAAAACATGCATCCTACATATAAAGGTTGTTTTCGAGTGTAAAATGACCAGCAAGTCCGTGGTGCTGAGTATTGATATGCTCAGAGTTCGGGCTGTAATCAAAATGTTTGCAGCTCACATGAAGACAAGCTGAAAACATGCATCTGTTGAACATGTAAAAAAGAAACAAAAGTAGCAGGTAGAGTCGGTTAGGACAAAACTTAAGTAACTGAATGGCGAAGCTGACCGAGTTCATGTACTCGACTGATTAAACCTATGCACCTTTATGAGAAAAAATGCCTGAAGAAAACCAATGTTATTTTTAATAAGGTTGGAAAGTGAAAGAATGTCAATATGAAAAATCACCCCTAAAAATTCTTAGATTTGTGAAACAGAATACCAATGAAAGAAACCAAAAAGTTTTACATGATCAATCTCCCATAAGTTTCTCAGAATATATACTTACTGCTGGCTCTAGCTGCAGATGGAGTAGATGCTGATATGGCTGCTCTAGAAGCTTCAATATCCAAAGAAAGGCGTGTTATCTCCTCCAAGCTGTTCACCCACCCTTTTGGATTCTCCACTTTAATCCGAAAAGCAATTAGAGCTTCCATTTGCTTATTCAAAACGGCAGCCTCCTTCATTACTTCCTCCACTTTAGATTTGTAAAATTTCACAACTTTATTAAACTCACCATCAAGTTTTTCAAAGTAAACAAGTTCATATTTTCCTCCTTCATCTGCTGCATTGAGAAACATAGTTTCCAAGCCTTCTTCTCCATTTTGTCTCACTGTATTCACAAGAATAACTTGATTTTCAATGTCTGATGGAGTTTGGGGAGGATTGCTTCTGGGCGTTATTAGTCCACTGAATGCTCTGTACAAGGTAAGATTTTTTCTCCTGCTGCCATCTTGCTTGATTTTTGGATTACTTCTTCGCTTAAAAACTTGGATTTCTTTCAAAAGGGTTTTCAGAAAATTGTAATCCATGTAGGCCTCTTGCCATTCTGGCACCATTTGAGATATAAATTCTTTACCAAACTTCATGATCTTTTCCCCTTACCGTTAAGCTAAACTCTTGTTTAATGCCAGTAATATAGCAAATTTTGAGGAACATAAGTCGAAAATGAGCAAACTAGATGAGACCAGAAATGTGATTTTATAGCTTATAGAGAGAAGAGGACTTCAGCATTTATGTGGTCCATAGTAAACTGGCGTGTGGGCTTTCTTGGTCACTGAGAAAATCGAAGATTGTCTTAAAGTCTCCTTTTTTGTTTATTTGGAGAAAAAAAGATGAAGTTGGTACTCAAATCTTTCATTGCAATTGTATAATCCGTCCCAATAACAGAAAAAGTTCAATTTTGTATTAAATTGTCATGTGGTCCTCATGAAAACATGCTTGCCCTCAAATTTCTGAAGACCAACTTAAGTCGGGTGATAAAAGCTAGTTTCATAAAGTTGGACATGTGAGTGGATATGAGGATTCCATAGAGATCTGGACAGTTTTTCCTGTGGTAACTTATTTTACAACTATGGTGAAAACAGTTGAGAACCAACTTACCATTCAGACTAGGTCGAAACTTGATCTTTAGAGCAGTGAAGGATATTTTTGTAGACTAAGTTTTAAGATCACATAAATTGACTAGTTCAAGAGAATGTGGGGATCCACTTAATAGGGCAGTGAAAGACTTATCTGAAGAACCTCGTGCCTTCGACTCACTTGAATTTTAAAATTGAAGGGAATGTAAGGGGCCCTTTTGGTCTTCATAGCTTCTATGAGTACCATTTTTATAGCTCATCATTTAACCATGAGGAGGGTAAAAAGTGGTATTACCAACATTATTTCTAGCTTTTTTGAACCTTTAGGTGAGGCCAATTGGGTATGAATGCATTTGGCCACTTGCTTTAGGATAGGTCCCAAGTAATAAACGAAAATTGTAGATTATTGTAAAGAAAATAAACACCCCAAATATCCAGCTAATCTTGGACAGCTCACATTTTTTGATTGGTACTCTATGAATATTTATTATGAAGGGGACTTTGTTCACAATAAGTCGGCCATTTCCTTATACTTCTTCTTCATGTCAACAACCAAAACGTTTCAAACTTCAGAATATACATTGTTTCAAGAATTGGTCATAATATTTGTGAACTGTTCTTGAATGTGACAAATCGTTTGATTTTCCTTAAACATCTCCTGAAAAAATGTTCGTAGTAATCTATGCAGATCAATAATTTTCTTTGGAGCTGACTCTGTCAATCTTCTTGTATACATGTAGATTTAAGATCCAAAAAGGGAAAATCGAAAAGTATTAGGGTCCGTTTGATTGCAAATGTGGAAAATTGGTGGAAAAAAAATGTTTTACAGAGAATTGATTTGCTTAGAAATTGTTTTATTGGGAATTGTAATTAATTGTGTTTGATTTGTATAATTTTTGAAAGTTTGGTGTCTGTTTGGTTTCTTTTTAATGGAAATTGTCCATTAAAGTGATAATTTCTTTTCTACAATTGGATCTAGAATTTGTTCTAATTGTCAAAAAAAAAATAATAATAATAATAATTGAAAAAAATTATCATACCGAATATCATTCGTTTGGCTTTGTTTTGTATGGAAATTGTCAATAAAAGTGATAATTTTTTTTATCAGTGTATCTAGAATTTATTCCAATGGCAAACAAAAAAAAAAAAACCTGAAAAATATTTACCAACCAAAATATCAAGAANAAAAACCTGAAAAATATTTACCAACTAAAATATCAAGAATTTGTTTTTTTCAAAAATGTGGAAAATTTGGAAAGTTGGAAAACATTTTCCTGTGAAAATTTTGTCTATCAAACACTACAAAAGTTGGAAATATCAAACGGAGCCTTAGCGTCATACTACTATTATTTTTACTACTATTATTTAATCTATCGTTATTATGTATAATTCTGCTATTCAACTCAGCTTTATGAGTAAGATTGTTAGAAGAATATGCTTCAAGTTTAGAGAGACTTATCTTATAGTTTTGGGGCTTTATCTATCTTTAGTTATATTACTTGTTGTTTTATCTGGTTTAATAATATTTGCTTATCCTGGCTAGTTTTACGAATCTACAGGAGCAAAACTTCTCAAGAATCTCTCTCAAGAGCCAATTGTTCGGATTAGACTAGAAACGACTAAAGAAGAGAGATGTGTAATAAAATTTTGACAAATTTTATCAAATTGTATTCAATTAGTTAGATCAAACATGTCGTAAAAGTATAAGCGCTATCCGAGCCCAGTGCACGCACACCAGTCATGGTATGTATTACTATATCTTCAAACAATAAAAGAGGGGGAAAATCCGTGGTGATTGTAAATATTACCTCACACGTCTTTTCTTGAGTGCAGAGTTGTGTGTGTGTGTGTTTTCTCTATGTACTTACAAATTTTCATCGAAAAGTGAATTAATTCACTGGCAGATGGTTTGCCCACGACAGAAATCAGTACTCCATGGGCACACCCTCACATCCTTGACCTTGGCTAGTAAATTGAAGATCCGAGCCACTGCTTTGTCACTTCGATGGCATTATTGATTATCTCGCACGAGTTTAAGAAGTTAACATCTATTCCATTATCGATCGTGTTGTCCATGAAAAATACAAACGTAGTGTCTCCATTCCTAGTGCGAACGAGTTCAAATGCTTTCAGTAGATCATTTATGTTATAACATTCATCACAATACTGGCAGTGTGAGCACTCAAAACAAAAGTGATATTATGTCGAACCTCGTGACTGCACTCTGAAGGAATGATGAAAATGTTCTGTAAAATGGCTTGCTTTCATTTACTGGTATGTGTTGATATACATGCAAATGTACATCTTCTGAATGTTGTACATAAAATTACAGATATTGAACTTCAGGAGAACAGTTCTGCATTTGAATTCAAGATTCTGAGACGTAATATTATCTACCCTATAAGATTGTGTTGCAGTTGGAGACACCGATCTTGGACTGAAGTAATTGATGACGATACTTGGACAATGGTTTAGTGAGCAAGTCAGCAAGCTGATCATGAGTCGAAACGTGAGAAACATGAAGATCACCGCCTGCTACTTTGTCTCTTTAACAAATTGAAATTGATAGCTATATGTTTCATGCGAGAATGGAATACAAGATTAACAAATAAGTGGCTCCAACATTGTCACAATGTATGGTTGGAGATGGAACAATGATGCAAGTTCGTGGAGCAAAGGGACCCACAAAAGTCCTGCTGCTGTAGCAGCTAACAACAAGTTATTCTAACTCTGCTGAAGACCGAGCAACAGATTTTTGCTTTTTAGAGGACCAGGAAATGGCAATGCTGCCTAGATAAACAATGTATACTGGTAGAAGTGCGATCATGACGTTTACCCACCCACTCGGAATCAAAAAAAGCATATAGGGATAGTGGTAGATGGTGCTTGAGGTGAAGGCCAAAAGTAATGGTGTTCTTTAAATACCGCAACAGTCTCTTTGTTGCTATCTAGTGAGTTTGAGTTGGGCAATGCATGGATTGAGATAGTTCACTGCAGAGTAGATGTCCGGTCTAGAGAGAGAGATAGAGAGATTGTCACTGAAGAGACCCGATGACCAGTCGATACCCAGTAGTATTAGCAGGTGTTGGACCATTTTTATCGTCTACATAGACAAGAAAATAGTTTAGAGAACCATTTTTATGAAGGTTAAAGAGGGAAGTGTCAGACTGAGAGTTATGAAATCCGTAGGGGAGTAGAAACTCCTTCAACTCATTATACTAATTACTAAGCACTTGGTGCTTGTTTGATGCAATAGAAAGCATTGTGAAGGTAGCAAATATGATTGGGCTGTGATTCATCCATCAATCATGATACATGTACATCTTGTTTTACATTATTTTTTACATTATGCCACATGTCGACACAAGATTTGACAGTTTAAAAAAAAACATACTTTCCCACCCAACACTTTTTAAATTTCCACACAATATACACCAAGATGTAACACATAGAATGTACACTAAACATAATTCTTCATTGATACATCCAAGTGGTTGCATCATGTAAACCTCCTCATGAAGAGTGCCATTCATCGATACATCCAAGTGGTTGCATCAAATATTTGTGGATTTAACTACCGGAGTGTGAGTGTCGTGATAGTCAATATCGGGGACGTTGATGAAAACCTTTGGCAACCAATGTGTCTTGTACCTAGAAATCCTACCATCTGGGTTTCTTTTAATTTTGAAAACTCATTTACAACCAACAATGTTCAGATTCGGTTGTTGGGGGAACTAACAAGTTCCATTTCTAGTGAGGGCATTGAGTTCATCAACCATTTGGAATGTAACCACACTCTTTCCCCTAGAATTGTGTTCTAAAAGGGAAATTACCCAAAACAAAATATTAATAAAAAATATCATTCATATCATACTTCTTTTTTTTATTATTATTATAATCTTCAACTCGATACAACCTTGTAAGATTTCGAGAGCTTACTTATTATGTGTTACACTTATAAATTACGTGGCATTAACTATTCATTGGATTGAGCTTATTAAACTAAATAATTTGCATCATTGGCTCGACCCATTACACACGTGGCTTATGTACGTTTTCCTATATATACGTGATTTCATTTCACAAAAATATATGATTTCTAATACAATCCAAATTCTCTCTCCTTCTCATGTACTCTCTTTTTCTCTCGTCCGGTTGTTGACTTGGTCGTCGGAGTGCTAACGGTGGCCGGACTTTTTTTTCGACTGGTGGCATTTGCCTCCTAACGGGTGTTCCAGTGTACAGGTGATGTCTACATAGAGGAAATGTGGAAGAAATTTTGTTGGCGCTTTTGAGGTCAACAATATAATTAAGGGGCTTTCTCCATATTCAATTACATTGCTTGTTGTTTGTCTAATTCAATAACATTATTTAAGAACCTATTGAAGCATAAACTTCTCAAGTCCAATCAAATTTTTCTAGTGAAAGACTAAACCTTGAGATTAATGTAAAACGACATGCTAATTTAGGTAAATATTTAACATGTTATACTTAGATCATATTAAAGAAGAGAGATGTGTGATAAAATTTGATATTTATTTTGTCAAATTTTATTCAATTTATTATATTAAACATGACATAAAGGTAAAGTGCTCCAGATATGGTATTTAACCAAAAAAAAAACCAAGGCAAAAAGTGGCATGTATTAAAAAACTAGTATGATTTATCTAAAGGAGTACAATTTTTATTTAAAGTATAGAAAAATTATGATCGCATTCTCGTTATTTAAATCGATTGCTACTTGATTGTCTTTTTCATAACAAATAAAATCTGTTTAAAGTTATTTTGTCTTTGTTTAAAATTAAATGTAAAATTTACATATTTATCCGAAATAAAATAAATAAATAAATATTAAGAGCTTGTTTGGGATGGATTTTAATTCAATTAAAATTGAAAATATAGTCGTTATTATGTCTCACTCGTCTAATAAAAGTCAACAATAACGGCTAGTTTTTCAATTTTAATCCCTCTCAAACAAGTTCTAAGAACAAAACCTAGCTTGAAAACGACTTACCTATATGTTTATAAGAAACTTTTAAGAAATTATTTTAATCTTAGCCAAACCTAGTTTGAAAAAATTAAGAAAAAAAAAAGTATTATCCTTAATGAGAAGCTATAAATTCACACTGCCTTTTGCAGCCTCATCCTCAACCTCTGAATGCAAACTGATCCAGCAGCCTCTGCGAAACATAGCGAAGAATAAAGAAGGAAAAAATGGCCACTTTCTTCTCACTCTACCCTTCAACTTCCTCTTCTCTTATCTCTCCTCCCAGAACCCCAAAACAACTGTTTTCTTTACTAAAACCAAATTCAACTTGTATATACTTCAAGAAAAGATCATTATCTGTAAATTCAGTTCTGTCAACAGAAACTGACTCAAAAGTTCCACAAACGGTGCAGACTTTCTGGCAGTGGCTAAAAGATGAAGGGGTTGTGTCAACCAAGACACCGGTGCGGCCGGGAGTGGTGCCTGAGGGCCTTGGACTGGTGGCCACAAGGGATGTTGCTAAAAACGAGGTCGTTTTAGAGGTGCCCAAGAAGTATTGGATCAATCCTGATACTGTTTTAGCATCAGAGATTGGAAATGTGTGCTCTGCGTTGAAGCCTTGGATTTCTGTTGCTCTGTTTTTGCTCAGAGAGAGGTTTAGGGAGGACTCTAAGTGGAAAAATTACATTGATATTCTTCCAGAGTATACTAATTCCACTATATTTTGGTGGGTTATGGTCAAATTTTATCTTTGAAATTATCTTCTTTTTTTAAGAATGTTATAGCATTTTTGCCTGGGTTAAACGCCAACTTTTTCTGGGATTCAAAAAAAGTACTTTTAAGCAGTGTCTGTGTTTGCATATATTTTTTACTTCTTGAATTTCTATGGGTTTGTAGTTTTATGTTGATAAGAATTATTTTGTATGTTATTCCAGTGCAGGTCAGAAGAGGAGCTTTCTGAGATTCAAGGTAGTGTGATTTCTTCCTGAAGCACATTGTTTGATTAAAATGATTTCTAGAGTTACTTTCAACATAAGTTTACCATTAAAAAAATGAAAAAGTAACTTATCTTCTTCCTAAAGCACGTTGTTTGATTAAAATGATTTAAACCTTACGGAAAATGATCCTTTACAATAAAGTAAGAGTTACTTTCAACACAAGTTTACAGTAAAAAGACGAAAAAGTAACTTATCATCGAAACCTTTTTTTTCATAAAACTGCATTACGGGCCTAAAAGAATATTATTTTAGTAGTTTATTTCTGCTGCTGGTTGTTCTGGATATACATAACTGAACTTGTAATTAATCTGAGGTTTTGCAGGAACACAACTGTTGAGCACAACATTGGGCGTGAAAGAGTATGTGCAAAATGAGTTCTTGAAAGTTGAAGAAGAAATCATACTTCCAAACAAGCAGCTCTTCCCTATTCCAATAACATTAGATGATTTCTTTTGGGCATTTGGGGTACTCAGATCGAGGGCATTTTCTCGTCTTCGCAATCAAAATCTAGTGATAATCCCCTTCGCAGACTTGGTAAGGTCTCAAGGCCTTGGGGATTTTTCCTTTAAACAGCTGTAAATTTCAAGTTTAGTAGGAAATTCGATGAGAACTAGATTAGTTATCATTGAAGATTCAGTTTTTTCTCCTAATACTTTGACAATATATAATGTTACTACACTAGATGGAATTACTGCAGAGATCTATGATTTACATGCCTTTTTTAACGTTCTTTGAACCTCAGATCAATCACAGTGCCCGAGTTACTACAGAAGATCATGCTTACGAGGTTAGAGGACCAGCAGGTCTTTTTTCCTGGGATTACCTCTTTTCTTTAAGAAGTCCGTTACCACTCAAGGCTGGCGAACAGGTGAATTTCATTACCTATTTCTGTTTGACCTTTTTTATACCAACTTAGATGCTACAACAGCAACATATACCACACATTATGAACGTGAAAGAGCTAAATGCAATGCAGATATCGAGTTAATATTGTCCTATTTCCTCGAATGGACCAAATGAAAGAGTATATGAACAATCACTTAGTGACACAATGTACGCAGTAATGGGATTCACATTATTGGTAATTCTGGCAGGTTTTTATCCAATATGATTTGAATAAGAGCAATGCTGATATGGCTCTGGACTACGGGTTCATCGACTCTAAGTCAGATCGTGACGCATTCACATTGACACTGGAAATATCAGATTCGGATGTTTTTTTTGGTGACAAGTTGGATATAGCCGAGTTAAATGGTTTAGGAGAAACTGCATACTTTGACATTAAGTTGGGACAACCTCTTCCACCTGCTATGCTTCCATATCTACGACTGGTAGCACTTGGAGGAACTGATGCTTTTCTTCTGGAGTCGATTTTCAGAAACACTATTTGGGGTCACCTCGAGTTGCCTATTAGCCATGCAAATGAGGAGCTTGTATGTCAAGTGGTTCGGAATGCATGCAAATCTGCACTTTCTGGCTATCATACCACCATCGAAGAAGTAACTTATCCTAGTTTCGTATTAAAGTTACTAATCTTAATAATTCTGAGTTTTTACAAATAGTAAATGTACTAACGAGGTAAAATGCAGGATGAGAAGCTGAAAGAGGAAGGAAATCTAAGTCCAAGGCTTGAAATAGCCGTTGGAATAAGAGCGGGAGAGAAAAAGGTTTTGCAACAGATTGATGATATCTTCAGAGAGAGGGAATTGGAATTGGATGAACTCGAATATTACCAAGAAAGGAGGCTCAAAGATCTTGGTCTGGTTGGGGAACAAGGTGATATAATCTTTTGGGAGCCCAAGTAGGTACTGTGAATCTGATTGTGGTTGAGAGGCATCATCATGTAATACCACATCAAAGAAAGCTACAGGTACCTTCTCATGGGTTGAAGACAATAATATATCCATTCATATCCAGGAATGTTATCGGAAATTAATGTTTTGCTGGTTGCAAGTTTTGTGGATTCAGCTTGAGTTTTTCAAATTTCAGATCATTTTATCATATGATTATTATCTTGATACATGATGTGTGCATTTTCACCATCTTTTTTGTTGTAATTTTTGCCTGTGAACTGTAGTTAAATTCATCTTTATGTACTAAAATTGTTCATGCAACCACAGTAAGAATTACCATTACCTTACTATTTTTTGGTCAAGACCGTCTGTATCTAGGTGGAGGTTTAGCATGAATCCCTACCTTTTAATAACAAAAAACCAACAGTAGGAAAGGGGGAGGCTTAAATCATTACTTCCAGAGTTAACGTCTATTTTTATGCTATTTCTGTTGTGTATTAGCGCGCATAAAAGGCTGCAGATTTCTGAATTGAATAAAGTATTAGACAGAAAAGTTCTTTCTCCTTCTCCCTCTTCTTACACTTTTATCTTCTTTTACTGATAAAACAATTTTATGCAGTTTACCTTGAGATTGAAAATTACCCCCCAAGATTTATGGATTTCCTTGAAAATGCATGCTAAAATAGATTGCTTGTAGATTTGAATTCATGATTACCATTTGTAACTAATATAATTTTAATCCTGGCCCACTGCGAAATGCATAGAAAAGACTTGTTAAGGTGTGGAGTATGGAGTAGGGGTGCAAAGGGTCCGAGCTAGCCAGCCCTGCACAGTACATGACATGGTCCTATAAGTGGCCATGCGCGCCTCAGACCTGAGGCCAAGTACATATTAATAGAGCCTTTGGCAGATAGAGAATATAGCCATTGTTGAAGACTACGAGCATATACAACATTCTCCAGTGAAGCAATTAATGAGGCAATATCTGTATGAATGATAAAAATATCATGCAAAATAACAGGGCATTCTTCAATCAGCAGAAGAAAAGAAAATTACATATTAACAAAATGAATGAAGACATTTTGAATCATTTTGAGTTTCGTTTATCTTAAAAGTTACTTCTTTCTTGAGAAGTCAGCACAAACGATGATCAATTCTTGATAGGCTCCAGCAACAACTTCAGTCAACAGTTCATTGTTTTCTACTAATCGTTTTGAGTGCATGTATCCATCAAAACAAGTCTCAGGTTATTGGAGTGTCATGGTTAATCTCACTTTCACCATATGTACTGACAGAAGCTGAATATCCAGGAAAAAAATGATTTTGCAGCAATGTATCATTTAACTGTAGTCGCATTACCAGGACTTAATAGGTCATCACAACTAATGCTTTCGCACAGGCATTCTTGTGGATTTGCATAGAAGTAATCTTCTTCTTTCGGCTTGTCTGGAATGACCCTACGACGACTTGGCTTTCCCATTCTTCTCTCATGGGCCAGTTGTACAGCAGCTGAAAACTCGTCCCAGGTGATTGTCCCGTTCTGATGTAAATCCAACAACTCAACAAGCTTTTTGCGATCCAGTTGGATGGTTTTTTTGAAAGCAAGGTACCTGCAAAAGATGGAAACATAAATGTCTAACAGATAGAGAATATCCTATTAATATGGATAATATACATTGCAAATTTCATAAATGGTACCTTCGATGACCTTCCACGACTCTTGCCATGTTTCCATCATAAGTGGGAATAAAAATATTACTGGCAACAGAAACCATAAAATCGAGGGCTGCCATTTGAGATGAATGATTCTGAAACAGCAGCAAATCTTCTGGATCTAGCAGCATTTCCTTTTTAACCTAAAATCACAATGACGGTTAACATTTAGAGAAACAATAAGTTTGCAAAGTGAAAAACTATAAGCAATAGATAAGCACATAAATGACTTGTTTATAGTTCAACGGACAAAATTTTAACTTTCTTTTCTTTCTCGATATTATCCAATGTCTTACGTTCAGTCCACCTTACCAAACATGCTATATAGAAAGAAAAGAAGTAATGAAGCAGCAACGCTCACAATCTTTGGAAAGGCAGCTCTTAACGATGCAAGCCTGCGTTCACTTCCATAGATCTCACCAGATGCAATATAGATTTGGGTTTCCTTATCAAATCCCAATGCTTGCAGAATCAAAGCCGTCTCCTCTGGGGTAAGAGGACATAAGCCATGAAATCTCCTTTCCTCTGATACTATTTCTTTCTCCCTCCACCAAGGAAATGCATATCTGTTCTGACAATATAATGTAAAAAATGAAGGTTTTAAGTGTGCAGGCGATGGGAAATTGAAGAAAACTACACAAGTTTTAAACCCTAAACCCTAAATCTGGGCAAAATAGTAACAGAGAAAATGCAAAACAATGTAAAATTGAAATAATCAATCCCAGACAATGCAAGTGTCATGAAAGACATTATGATCATTTCTTCATCATCGATTTGTTGTACCATATAAGATATTTGATTACATCAAAGTTACCTTAATCGTTTGAGTTCCTCAGCCTCCTCTTCAGTGCAGCCATGAGTACAACCTGAGAAAGCCAACATGTCCATTTCATATCGGAGATGCAATGCTAAATATGGTCCCTTCTCTTGAATAATACGAACCAACTTGTTTCCCAGAGCCTCAATCTCAGGTGTGAACTTCAGTGCCTGGAAATTGACACGACATCTGAGTTTCTGAAGCTCAAGAGGGATACCATTATTTGCCAGTCGAGCATCTGTTTTGTTGAAGTATATAACCTTATGCTGGCTGAAGAGAGGCAAAATCTGCATGTAGAATCTAAAGCATAAGAACAAAATATCTCGTTCTATTCCAGCGCAATAAAAATTAACAGAAGAATAGCATCACTGTATTAGCAAGTGTTAATATTCCCACACTTAAAATAAACTTTCAAGTCTCCATTTATAAGCAATAAATGGACCACACAAAAGAAAAAGTGAAAGGCTTGTTTATAACTTGTTTGCTCTCTCTCCATTATATTTCAACTACACATACTTCCCGAAATGCTTTTATTTGTTGATATATGTTGCAACCTCTATCATCATTCTAAAACTTACAAATTTTGGACGTCAAGATGAAAATATAATGACAAAAATTCTAAATTTCTTCCCAAAAGAAATGCAAAATTTGATTGCAAATGTTTACAAATAAATTGAATGCAATTAATGGTGTCCAACTGTTTGAAAGGCAAGGACAGCTTTCTGCTTTCGAAAATAGAATCAAATAATTCGCTGATAAGACATCATGATCCTCTGTCAATGGTATGTGCACTATTGGTTTTTCATTATTTCGTGAACATCGGTGCTGAGATGAGGTTATGCAAAGTGAACAACATAAAATACTGGCTGTTAACTGCCTTTTCTCTAGTTGAGCTCTCTCAATCAAGCATGACTACAAAACCTATTCTTCTTATGGAGGATTTTTCTGAGAACCGATATAAATGTGACCATTTTTGCTTTACAGCCACTGATGCAAGCAACCATGCCTAATTAAAAATTGTATTCTCCTTCTCATGTTGCATAAACATGAATCACTGCTTAAAAAGCATGTAAAGCCTAAGATTACAAACTCAGTGCTAAATTTTTTTGTCCTCATACACCTAAAGGACTAGTCACATACCATTTGTAAATCAGGTGATGCTCACGTGGAATTGTTGATGGCAGTTGACGAGTACAAATAAGGATTAACAAATATAAGTGAGCATACAAGGGAAATTATCTTGGCAGAAGTTCAAGGGAAGTAAAATGCACAAATAGTACTGCACAATGTTGAAGTAAAAATTAATTAAATTTCTCCCAATTTTCCACATTGTCGGCCTTGAGGGATTGCTTCTCACATGAGACTTTATGAAATTACTGGAACAGCGATTAAGATTCTTGTGTAGTTAAAACTTCAGTTAGATCATCAGTCAAAAGTGTTTTAGACATTGTACATTGTCCTATAAATCAACGCCGTATGCATAAGGAACTTGAGTACACCGCAAAAATATGCGTGATAAAAGAAATAGACAAACCTGTTGCAAATAGTATTTCTCATTTGACCAGCTTACAGGAGGCATTATAAGTGGTTGAAATCCATATCTTGTGCCAAACTTCTTGGGCAACCTCTTTATTATTCGAACTTCATCTCTTAATGCATCAATGAAATGTCTCACATCAAAAATATCCTCAAAATTACTGCAAGTAAAATAACAGAATTTCAAGCTGCAGAAATGAATAAATGACAGATTTGTATGCGTGTGTGACTACTTTTCCAAGGTAAAATATACCTAGGATCAGCCCAGAATGATGCCTTATCAAGCTCTGGAACAACCAAAGTAAGATTTAATAGCCGAGCAATTGTGACCATGTCACAAATCTGAAAGTTCAGGTTGCCAATTAGTTGAGGTGAAACATGTGCAGTTAAAAGAGAATAAAGAAAGAAACTAAATACAAACCTCTGAGCGCATTTGATTCAAGCCGCCATTGCAAGAGACTTTAAGAAAACCATTACTCCTGTAATTTCCTGCAGTATATTATATGTGAATGTCTACAAGTACAAGAAAGTACAACACCACAACTATTGGATTTTCAAATTTATCCTAAGTTCTGCAATTATTCTACTCTTTTAGAGAGAAAGACGTAGCTTTTCAACAACTGGCACCATTCATTTAATGTGAAAATGGAAGCCAAATTTAAAGTGGAGTTATTTATGTACGATACCAGAGGATTTATAGCTTGATAATATGAGATTCCTCCTCATGGTTTGCCAATATTGCAAATTACCTCCATTGGTACAGAAGCATAAAACTTAAGTCCTACACTCCTACTACCTAGTGATTTTGAGAACGCAGCTAATTACCCAACCATCTAAGCCTGATGATGCAAACTTTCATATTCATCAAATTGCCCCATAAGTGCTAGTCCTGGTTTTAGGTAAAAATTCCCAAAGTCACAACCTTATCTATGAGTTTCACTAACTTATAGATTCAACAAAGGACCTAATATCTATATGCATGAATGTGTATATCATTACTATTTAACTAACATAGACGGCACAGAATTGAATATAAAATCATGTAGGCAACAATGCACCATCCAAAAACAAGTGCAAATTAGCAAAAAGAGATTACTCACTAGATGGAACCGGAGGTGGGTGTGGGGGTGAAGAAGGTAGGGGTTCTTCTCCACCAACCGACATTTTTCTAAATCCCAATACTCCGGTGAGCAGCCGAGGATGCCACAGTTCCCCAACTGTGACAAGCTGAACTAAACAGGTCCATATTAGAATGATAGAACAAATTCTTATAAACCAAGCTTGTAATCTTGTTCTCTGTACCGCCTGCCCCTGCAATAGCGGCAATTTATCAATGTCCCTTTCTGATCTAACCACCTCCATCTCCCACAACCCTCATCGCCACCGCCAATTATTCATCCCCAAATCACACATCACAACAAACCCAAACTCATGAATCAGCTACACAATGTTATATGCATATTGTATGCATATGAATGATTTGAAATGTGGGTTGGTCAAATTTTCAATCTTTCAAGAACTGAACCGCGGATGGGTGAAATTGAAGGCAAATTTTGAATTTTAATTGGGAAAAAGGATTTTATTTTATTTTTTATTTTTTTTACAGGATGAAGAAATGGGATCCCTATGAGAGAGAAAAAAAATGGATGAATCTAGAGAGAGGATGTCGAGAAAATTGATTTTCACGATCTGAATAGTTTATCAAAATCTCTGCAGAACTTCTCTCCTATTTTTCATGAAAAAATTATTCAAGATTTGGATTATTTTGTTGTTTGCATATTCAAGTTTGATTCAAATAATTATTGCAGTTACAGTGTAAATTAATTTATTTCAGGATTTTATTCTGTTCTCTGTATTTTGAAACTTTTATAAATTCCATGGACTATTTTAATTAAAAAAAAAAAGATGGGCAACATGATTTGGTAAAATTAAGATTATACAGGATTTGTTTAGTTACAATTTGACATCTGGTTACGAAGCTGCAGAGCTTGTTTCTCTCTCGTTGACACATAATAAAATATTCTATATGTAAATTTAAATTTTTTATCAATTTTTTAACTACACATTCTCCAAAAAAATTACTATTTAAAACAATATTTTTCCAAACAAAGACCAACTAACATGGCTCGGGACAGTAGGTTTCAACTACTTATATTAGAAGTTTCTAACAATCTCGCGGGCTATTTAATGTTGTTGATGATAAAAAAATGATGTGACGCTATGTTATCAACTTAAAGTTGTTTTCGGAGAAATACAATAATATACTTACTAGAATTTAGTAAAGTTAGAGCATTATTTCTCGAAAATTGTTGATAGTATTAAAGAGAAATTTTTGAAACATTGCCCCCTTCTCTTTCATCCCTACTCCCTTATGTAGGGAATCGCATACTAATTTGATGCTCTGGTCATATCAAGCTATAATGTTCAACCTTGATTTGTGTGTCTATCGCCTGTTTTAAATAGCTTTAATTGGTTGAGTAGTTTGATTGTAACGTGGTCATTATGATACTTAAGTTATAGGCATGTGTCTTAAGCCATCGTGGCTTTTCTTTTGATTAGTTGTCGGGGGCAATTCCTCCGTCCAAGGGAACACCTATCCATTGTATCATTGATGCTTTTCAGATAATGTCTCCCATGGTCTAATCCGCAATGACGAATTCTGGATCGACTTTTTGTTCTAGACTATGTAATTAATCCATTTTGGTCATTGAGTATATGTACAACACATATTAGAGGTTGTCTGGTGGAGCATTTTAAACCAAAAAAAAATATTTTTTGTACCGTTAATATTTAAATTCAGCGGCCATTGTTGATCCCATGTCTCACATGTGGGAGTCACTGGTTGAAAAAAACGATAACTTTTCTGGTCAAAATATGATGAAAATTTCTAACAGACACACATCAATGCATTAATCTAGATAGCAGATTGTTTGCACACACCTTGATGCATGTATTCAGTTGATAGTATGCCTCGTCTCTTAAGGCAAAAGAGTGCCAACAACGTAAATTTAGAAGCACTTTTTAAGATAATACATAATATCTTGATCGTATGTCATGTTGTTGACAATTGGCAAACATAAAAATGCACTATAGTTTCATAAAATTATCGATCTTTTGTATATAAAATTGATTGAATCGAAATGCTTTTTCAGCTTTATGAGAATGGGTCACAATTTATGGTCAAGACACATACGACGAGTAATTTCTTTTTTCTAAAATAAACTGGCATCAACACATAAACAATAAAAAGAAAAAGAAAAATTTAGTTGAAGCATGTAGTGAAATTTAGAGTTCATTGAGGAGAGAACATTTTATAAAGAAAAATAAAAACTCATCTAAAGCAAGCCTCACATGACAACATAAAAATGGGCTCTCGTCCCATTAAAAATAAGTTACATACGGTCGGAATGTACTGCAAGGACTACTTGTGTAGTAAAAGGTTGAAATGAGGGTGGCATTGCCATAACTGAAAGGAATGGTCATTTTTTCCCAAGTGAGTCCATAGGTTGGGGACCTTTTTTTGCAAATATGCCTTTTTTCCCCATTTAAACAGGATTGTAAATTTAAATTAAAACTATTTAAAGCTCCATTAGTTTCTCATTTTTCATCCATAAAAATGAAAAATATGACCGTTATTCATCACATTAAGCCATCAATTTTGAATTTATATCTCTTGTGTGGTGTCCAATAACGACTATATTTTTCATTCTCATTCTACAATAATGAGAATCAAACGGCTCTAAATTGTGCATGTATGTCTTGCTTTAACAGAGAAGCCAACCATGTAAGAAAAATTTTAATTTTGGTGACCAGATGGATCAAAAGAACATATTAAGGACTAATTTGAAAATCAGTTGAACTTCAAAAAATATGATTGTTTAATAAATCATTACTTTGACAATAAGCTCCTGTTTGGACCACATTCTTTTTTTCATTCTTATTCTTCTATTTATTTTCAACCACACATTTTTCAATAAAATAATATTTTTTATCACATCAGTAATTTTTCCTTACTTTTCAACCATACATTCTCTATCAATCTACTATTCCAAAATACATTCTTCCAAAATAGTGTGACTCAAACACACCCTAAGTAAAACTTGTCACATCATTCTTGAGCTTAATTTCATCAATGCTCATAGATTAAATCATTAATTTATACGCGTCACTGACCTGTGGCGGATCAAAAATTTTGAGTGATTAGTGACGGATCCAAAATTTCTTCTACTGTCAACAAAAAAAAATTGTTCCGGACAAATTCAGCACGGATGATCGCCGAAGCTCGTCGGGTACTGGGTTCGCCACTGACGACAATCTAACAATGATTTTTTGGGCACTAAATAAGCTTAGAAATGTAATAAAATTGTTTATTCGAAACTCATATATGATGATTTTATGCCATTATTTTCAATTAATAGTGTACGACGGATTTCGCGTATTAAAATACAGAAAACGTCACAAATTCTATTTTAAGAAATACAAATAAATGAGAATCTTCTTGTAATTGCAAAATTGCAAAACCCTCTGATTAATGATCTGAACGTTTGAAGACATGAGCCACGTGGCCTGAATCCAAGACTTCTAGAATTGTTGAGAATTTGATTTGCCGAGCACTTGACTTGTTGACACTTGAATTTCAGAACATGGATTTGGACTTCAAAACTTGGTCTTGATCTTGATTTAATTCGAAGAAGATTTTGATCTTCTTGGATTTGTTTG